GAAGGGGCCAAAGAGAGATCTCCTGGAGGAGGCAGATTTAGTACCCTACCGAGGCAAGCAGAGAGGAGAATAAGGGGGTGCAGCCCTCTCTGAATGAAGAGGGGTGGGGTCTGCTGCTAGCTTGTGACCCAGAGCTTCCAGGGGGGAAAGAATAGCCAAATAAGGCTGAACATCAAGAAAGTGATGCTGAATTTGCCACACAAAACTCCTGAGTGCCTTTGACAATGTCCAGCTCAGGTGGGTGAGGCAGCTGGGGAGGTGAGAGGAAAGGTGAGCTGTGCCTGAAGAGGTAGGGAAATGGATCCCGCAGGCTGGACTGCTAAAGGGGACAGGAGCTGGGAGGAGGGAGGGTGGAAGAGATTTTAAAAGATGGGGAAACCAACAGGCGGTTGTATGCTGAGGGGAGCCAGCCAGAGGCTGCGGATGCCGCTGAGAGGGGCTTGCGGCAGAGGTGAGTCCGGGAGCACAGGGCATGCCGGGAGAGAGTTGGCTGTTGCCCAAGGCAGGGACAGTTCATCCATCCTAGCCAGAGAGGACAAGGGAGTCAGTTGACCCAAAGATAAAATTCTGTCAACTTCACTTAAAAATAAATGCATAGAGGAAAGGATAAAAGGAGATACAAAAATATCAACAGTGTTACCTACTAGTGATGGTGTTGAGGTGATATTTTTCTTACAGCTTTTAGCATTTTTCAAAACAATTTTTGGTCAAGCATGTACATGATTTTTATGCTTCAGATAAAAATCAGCATAATAAGATAAGAAACTTTCTAATAACTCTTTGTGCCATCAGTCCTCATAAACTTTGTATGTCCCACAGCATGTTCTCCAGCAGATTATTCTGTAATGATGTTTGGCCTCCAGATTCTCACAGTGGCACGTGCTCTCCATACAGAATTCTACTTACCAAAAGGTGGCTCTTCTCTGCTCTCTCACTCATCTCTAAACTAAGGGTGAAGACCACCATTCTACATTTTTATGCATACAAGAACTGAGGTGTAGGCCAGAGGCATGTGGGAAGTGAGAGGACTCACTAGAGACAGTGGGGAGCAAGACAGGTGGCTCTGGGCTAACCCAGGCTAACCCACCTGTAGTCAGGTGCCCCCCTGACTACAGACTTAAACTGCATTGAAGCGAGAGCTGGTTCTACGCTACACCAGTGGAAGGAAGACTACTCCATTGACACCAGTGGTGGCTTAGTTCTGGATTTTAAAGATAAATTAGGAAACTAGAAATTCAATTTATGTTTAATAAAGGATTATTATACTTCGCCCCCCCCCATCATGGTCTTAAACTATAGAGCTTGATATTTACGAGAGTGTATTTAACCAAAGTAAAAGCAAGTCAAGCTGTTACATTACGATAGTGGCACTAAACGGTGAGGATAACATTTGAGCACAGAGCAGTGGTAGTTGTTTATTTTTTTCAGTGTGTACAACTGAAATACAAGTGGAGCTATAATAACCACCCCTGAGGGTATTTCTAACCTTTGGCAACACAGAAAGAAAATATTTATAGTCTGAAAATATGTCTCTCTAGTATTACAAAACAAATGGAAAATATAATCTGGTTAACAAGCTGTATTTTTCACAAGAGAAAAAAAATGATAGAGAAAGATCCTGACTTTGCTTTGCAGATATTAAATATTTAACAAAATAGCAAGAATAGAAACCAGTTCTATAAAATAATGGAAAAAAAGGAAAATGTTAAATGTGTGAAATTATCCATACACATACATATATAATTTAGGCATTTTAACTTATATACAGAGTAAAACAATAAAATTTCTTTGACCTCCCAATAGGTAAAGTTTAGTAAATGCAAAATATTCACTCCAAGCAATACATTTTGAACATTTACCATTTACAAGAATCTGGTCTTTGGGTCTTGGGTGTATTAGTCAGGAGATGAAAAACAGAGCAACTACCCTGTTCTTACAGGCAATGTAAAGACCTAAGCAAAGCATAGCAAGTTAGGTAGTATATTAGATGGCGATAGCTGCTTGAGATAAATAGAGCACTTGAGGAAGACCCTGGATTGGGGAGGCTGTGGGATATTGCCATATTGGAAAGGGTAGTTATCTCAGCCATCACTAGGGAGATCCCTTACCTATGGCCCTTCAGGCAAAGGACGGTCTTGTCCTTTCAGACGTTAGAGGCCAGGAGCGTGTAGGGCACCATAGTAGAGATGAAGTCTGTGGCAATAGGTGAGTGTAGGGTGGGATTCCAGGGGGGCTGCTCTGAGTGGCATGGGGTCATTGGCAGGTACCTACCATAGGGTGACATAGGTTTTTCAAAGCCCATTCTCACTGTTTGTAATGCTCCAACTAAGAAATAACAAGGCTCGGGCCCTCTCTGATGGTGCAGCATGTTAGAGCATAGCACTAAGAAGCTAAAGCCACTTCAGTATAAGTCCGATCCCCACCCTGGAGGTGACCCACATAGCTCAGCAGACCTCTCCTGACCCACTTACTGCTCCCCTCAGCAATGTATTTCATCAGTTGGCCTCTTCTGCTCCCCATTCTGTCTCTGGTGAATCCTCTCGCCATCCCTGAACATCTGGTCTGTACCCCAGTTCTGTATGTATACATAAATAAATCTTTTTAAAATATTTTTTAAAAAAGAAAGAAATAACAGGGCTCAAAGGTCAGCAGAGGAGCAGTGGAGATTTTACCTCAGAAACAGATGATTCAGGTTTTAGTGATCTTCTCTTTAGAAGTTAGGAGAGCAAAATATTCATTTGTAGCAACCACCCTCTTCTCCCCCCCACCCAGTACCTTTTTATTAACCATATGTCAAGCCAGCAGGCCAGACAAATTTTACAAACTATTCCTATATCTGTTCAGTGGTTTCATGACATCTGATTTTTTTCCTCCAGTCTCACTGTTGCTAACCTCTGTCATCTCCAGCTTAGTCAATGGTAGTACCATCTCCAGGGGAGTGGGAGAGATGCAGATTTAGGAAATTAAAGAGATTAGAAATGTCATTCAGCGGTGAAGTCAATATAAGTGGTAAGAGATGGAAATTTCTGGTCTGTATAGATAATTGGCTATGGGTCACTAAGACTACGGACATCGTAGGAGTCGTAGGCTTTGAGGGGCAAGGTCATGCTTTCTTTGGACATTCAGAATTGAATGCATCTAAGACATCTGTAAATCTCAGTAATCCTGCCCTCACCAAACCTCGTTAGTTTCCACCTCCAACTTCATCAACTTTAACACACTTCGTTCTGGCCATGACCGATCAGGGTGCTGGGGCAGTGAGTTAAGGAAGGTAATCAAGAGGTGTGCAATAATGGTGTGTAATTCTTCCATGTGTAGGTCTTTCTTACTTCATTAGGTTATTCCCAGGTTTTTGTTTTTTTGTTGTTTTTTTGTTTTTGTAAAATTATAAATGGGATGGTTTTCTTAATTTCTTCCTCTTCAAACTGTTTACATATAGAAAGCATACTGATTTTTGTGTATTGATTTTGTAACCTACTACTTTACTGAACTGGTTTATTGTTTTAACTAGGTTTTCCATGGATTTTTTAGGGTTCTCTCTATATATTATCATATCATCTGCAAATAATGATAGTTTTACTTCTTTCCCAGTTTGCATTTCTCAATATCAAGGGCCAGGAAAAAGATAATACTTGCAAGCTGTCATAGATCTGAGGCAAACAGCCAGGAATGGGGAGAGAGAGGGGTCAAAATTGGGGAGGGAAAAGCACAAAAGAGTGTGGAGATGGACCGGAGGGTGCTGTGGTCTGGGACAATCACAGGGACCACATCTGAGGGGAGAAATCCAATATTGTCAAAAAATTATCAACAATGTAAGAAAATAAATAAATAAAATTTAAAAATAAAAAAGCAACGTACAAGGAATAAAGATAAATATATTCAAGGAATTTGTCCATAATGCTGATAGGTTAAGTAAAATGAGGATTAGAATTACCTTTGAATTTAACAATGTGGAGGCCATTAGTGCTTAACAGAAGCTGTTTAAGTGTGTAGAGAGGACTGCCTGATGGAAATGGGTTTTCTTAATGGGTGGAAAGAAATTTAAAAAATTAAGTGCAGAAAATTCTGTTAAGGATTTTTACTGTAAAACAAGGAGAAGGAATAGTAGCTAGAGGAAATTCAAGTAAAGGAAGGCTTTGTCTGCTTGAGGTGGATGTTGTAACAGCTGAGAGGGGGTGTGAGTGATGACATAGGAGAGAGAGGAACCAAGAGTGATGTCCTTGAATTAAGTGGCAGCAGCAAGAACCTAGTGCAGCAAAAGTAGGGCTGGATATGGGGGGGAGGGGGGATGGGGAGGACCGTTTAGCAACAGTGACTTAATTCTCTGAACAATGAGAAACCATTAAAATTTATAGTGTTATGATTCTTATTCATCTTTGTATGTATTTATTCCATTCCCTTTTACCAACAGAGAAACTCAAATGCTTAAAAGTGTGTCCAAAAATAAAAGTTCTCAGAATAAAGTGGCTAGTAATTTCATGTCCACAAAAACTGAAATAAACCTTGTACTTATGTCAGCAATTTCTCTAGCCTTCAAGTTAAATCAAAGAGCTTTTGCTGTTATTGAAAGTTGTTGAAGTGTTTTACTTTGAAAATAAACTTCCTAGCACCTTATATCAACTTTCTGTGTATATTAACCTCTAGAAATCTACAGCATGGCTTATTTTGCATTCCTATTAAATTTTGCAGAATAGTAAGTTTTAAAGTTGAATCACTAATGGACTAACATCACCTTAAACAAGTTGGCAATTTAACAACTTCCAGTCTTTTAGACTCACTATTCTAGATCAAACCATATAGGAATTTAGAGCAAATTATATATTTATAGGATAAATGGTTCTAGAAATAATGTACTCTTATCATTCATAAAGTGTGACATGTTGCATTTTTCCAATGAAGAACACACAAATTTAATGCATTATACTCCTTTCTGCCAGTTTGTTCCAATTGAAATGAGCAAATCAATTCAGAAGGGTCTTTCTTTTTGTGTTGCTTCACAGACATGAACGTCTTCATACAAAGAAAGGTAATTTCTGCAGATCTCTGATTTCTAATATGAAGGATGTAGATGACTTAGCAACTTTAGAAATTTTGGATGAGGTAAGAAACTTAGTTTAATTAACTATTATCATTCTAGATTTTTTTTAATTTATAGAAGTAATATGAGCAGAAAGTTTTTTGAATAGTTCCTATAAGTCTCAAGTCTTGTTTGGTTTTTCTCTTTTTATTATTGTATCTCTCCCTTTCTTCATTTTTAATACATGGAACTCATATTTCCAGATTTCTCCAGCAAGGTATCAATCTTTCTGTCTGTCTACTACCACAGTCTATAGCCCAATCATGAGATCAGAGTCCCCACTCTCACAGAACTTCTTTCAGGACATTGAATTCTACTTGAAACTCCTTATCCTATCAAACTTCTCTCCTGAAGCTACAAACCCAAACCAGTAAATTCTAGCCTTAGCCTCCTCTCTCCTCATCCCCCTTTATCCCAGATAATCAGATAACTAGAAGAATAAATAGCTCCTTTTCCCTATAAGGTTGGGCTCTCTTAATATTTAGAGAAACCAAACAATGTCTCTATATTTTTTAAAAACATCAAGTTTTTTCTTCTTTAATACTTTGTATACTCACCTGAGAATTTTGCTCAGATATATCAAAGGGCATTTTCTGAACATAAACAGTCATTTTGGTAAAATCAGTGTTGCATAAATAACTGAAGTACTTCCTCAAAATAATTTGTCTTGAGAATATCAAGCATCTTGTTACCAAATAAGGTGTGCAAGTCAGATGTTATCAAAACTTCTATGAATCTTCTTATCTATCAAATTTTCCAGTGAGGTGAATTCCTGGACTTGTAAAAATGAAGAAGACTTCTGCTACTCATATTACTGACCTGTTCGATCTATATATTAAAGCTCTGGGTTTGTTTGTATCAATTGTTTATGCTTTATATTCTTTTTCTTTTTGATCTAAGATCTTTTCCTCTTCTCTTATGTCATGTACTATAAATGATGATTTCTGATACTGTTAAAATTGATTCTTTGTACTCATATGATTTATGACCTATGAAAGTTATTTTCTAGAACTTTTCTCTCTGCTTCATAAATCAAATGTCTAGGTAAAAGGCTAACATTCTACAAAATCAGTTTGAATAACTTGATTTGGGTTAAAATCGTGTTCACTGTATCTTCCCTTCTCTTTTCTAGAGTTCTTTCTCTTCCTTTACTGGATTTTCTTATTTCCTTGAAAGTATTATCTGTATAAAACATTCCTGTAATATCTAATGTGTCTTTTGGTAGGTTCAAATATCTGTTACATCCCTTGCTCTCAAAGTGAAAGATTAGCTGCTGACCTATGTATCCTTTCTTATTTTCAATATGTCTATTTCTTTCTGTACCTTGGTTGAGTCCAGATGTTTTGGGGTTTTTTTTATTGTTTACTTTTAAAATTGTAGTTGACCATGAATAATTTTTAAGAGAGAGAAGTTCTTTCTGTTTTATTCTAGAACACAGTCTCAGAACAACTTGAGAAGTGTTATGCCAGAGACCAGATTTATTTGTATGTGGGAGATATACTCATTGCTCTTAACCCTTTTCAAAGTCTGGGCCTTTATTCCCCAGAGGTATGTAGTGTGGCCTGCATGCTCTTGCTCTGTACAAATAATTACACTTCTCAGAGACTTAAATTAATTTAAATAGGTACCAGAGAAATTGTATTCAATATTTTGAACAGTAAAATAATTATGATTAAAACATTGAGATAGGGAAAAAAGGAAGACAAATTCATCTAGGTGCAAGTCTGTAGACTCCCCTTTTTTTGAACTTTTTTTTTTTAAAGATTTATTTATTTATGCATACAGAACTGAGGGGTACAGGCCAGAGGTGCAGGGGCGGCGAGAGGCTTCACCAGAGACAGAGCAGGGAGCAGAACAGGCAGATGGAGGAAGTACACTGCTGAGGGGAGCAGCGGGCGGGTCAGGAGAGGTCTGCCACGCCATGTGGTCACTTCCGGGGCAGACGGGAATCGAATTCATGCGGAAGTGGCTTTAGCTTCTCAGTGCTGTGTTTTAACCCGCTGCGCCACCAGGGAGGGCCTTTTTTGAACTTTTTTATAAAAGTATGTGCAGAATGTTCATTACATCCAGTTATTAGTAACTGGACTCTACTATATATAATGTCCATAAGTAGGTGCCTAAAAAGTGTATACTAAATGTCTATCTCTCAGCTAAGTGTGGGAGAGTTGAAGTACTCGTATATTTAGAGATAATAGGTACTTAATGGCTTTACAACTTGATATTAAAAATTCCGTTTTACATAATGACACTGTGTTTGATGAATGTAAGTATAAATTTATCCACTGGTCAACCCCTAATGTTTTAAATATAAAAGGGCATTCTGAAATCAAACTAGGCTATTTTCTTTTTTAAATGGACCATTTTGTTTGGGCTGTTTGTGTACATTAGAAAATTATTTAATGCTGTACCTGATAGTTCTGTTTAATGTAAAAAAATTATAAGTGGTCACCTCTACCAATGGAAAATTTACCAGGACAATGGTAATTTATGATTCTTGACCTAAGTTTCAGAAGAGCTGGGTTTTAATGCAAATTCTATCATCAAATAACTATGTGGGCCCTCCCTGGTGGCTCAGCGGGTTAAAGCACAGCACTAAGAAGCTTAAGCCACTTACGCATGAGTTCAATTCCCGCCTGCTCCGGAGGAGATCCACATGGCGAGGCAGACCTCTCCTGACCCGCCCGCTGCTCCCCTCAGCAGTGTACTTCGTTGATCTGCCTGTTCTGCTCCCCACTCTGTCTCTGGTGAATCCTCTCACCCTCCGCATCTCTGGCCTGTACCCCAGCTCTATATGAATAAATAAATAAATCTTTAAAAAAAAAAAATAACTATGTGACTTAGGATAAGTAAAATGAAAGAATGTATGTTAAATGATGTAAAGGGGGAGGGAATGGTCATTTATCAGACTAGGAATAGTCATCTGAATGATACCTGATTTCCTTTAGTTATAAAATGTCTTGTTATTTCAAAAAATAATAGTATTTTGAAATTTTAAGTTCTACTTTGGAAGTGCTTTGTACTTCAAAAAGTCTTTTAAATGCCACTGCCGTAGTCATATTATATCATAAAATGTCATATCATATTTCTGGGATATTTCAGGTCAGGCTTTTGTTTTACATAACAGTAAATGATTTGTGTGTACACATGTGTGTGGTATGTGAGTGTAGCATGTGCCATGTTTTTGTGGTATGAAACCTTATTTTGACTTATGTTTTGGTTTAAAAATTGGAACACTAAAAAAAGCCCTACAAAATGTCTTCTTTTTGCCCTTGATCTTAGCCAAAAGGCCTAGAAGCAATAAAATGTCTTCTTTTTGACGTTTAGCATTCCAAATTATATATTGGAGCAAAGAGAAGTACCAATCCTCCTCACATCTTTGCAATGGCTGACTTAGGCTATCAGTCTATGATAACATATACTTCAGATCAGGTAAGGATAGGCATATTCTTAGAAATTTCCCTCTACTATCTTTTGTGTGAGCTGAATTTTCTACTTCTATAGTTTTCTTATGGTCCCTTTTCTCCTGTGCAGTGCATTGTTATTTCTGGAGAAAGCGGGGCTGGAAAGACTGAAAGTGCTCATCTTTTAGTTCAGCAGCTGACAGTGCTTGGAAAGGTAGAATTTATTTTTTCTCTGTCCTAACAGAAGTATTTGTTCTCTCAGAATTTGGTTGACTAATATTCACTAAATTCCATGTTAAACAATGTGCAGAACTTATAAAACTCACATGTTGCTTTTAGTGATTTTAAAGTGTAACAGACAATAGAGAGAAAACAGGTTCTGTTTTGAAGATATTCTCACTTTTTTTTCACTCTTAGTAGGCAAAGCTAAATAAATGTGATTTCCACTCTTTTGAACTCTAATCTATATTCACTGGATACTTTCTCTACTTTTGTGGGTTGCTGGTTAAAAACATGTTAATACATAAAAAACAGACATAAATAATTCAAGAGACATAGCACAAATAACCACTCTATAAAGAGGGAGGACTGATATGTCAAAACAACTGCTTCATTGAGTCTAATACATTTTCAAAATAATGGATCAAAAGAATCCCATGCTTTCGTTAAAATCAAATATTAACTTTGCTCAGTGGGTTACTATGACTTTACCAATCAGACTTGTCAGGCTTCAGGAAAGATCCTGCTGGAAAAACCAGCAGAGAAGGGAAAGGAGGCTACCCCAGCTGCATCTCAAGCCTCCCCCACCCACCCACATGCCTCTGCCCATTAACTTCCCCTCCCCTTACTTCTAGGAGAAACTTTATTCTAAAAGAGTCAAAAGGATACTGAAATAAGACACAACTTTGAAAAAAAATTAAGATACAACTTTGGAGAGAGAGGGCTAGGGAGGCATAGCCTGGCCTACTGTCCTGGCATACCTGAAATGAATAACTAACTCCCTGGCCCTTATAAGGGACTTTGCTATTTTTTCTTGATGTTGAGCTGATAGATTCTCATCAATAATGGACTCACTTGTACCTGACTGTTGTCTTGCAGATGTCCTCAGACTTGTTTATCTAATCTCTTTATCTTGTTCTAGATCTCAAAATGTGGCTTCATGTTAATTGGGGATAGTGATATATATTAGAATCCTACCCTTATCAGTTCTTGTCCTGTCTTTTACTTATCTCCTTGTAATGATTTACCAACTACAAAAATTGAATGTCCACGAAATGTACCTTTTGTGATAGGCATTCCTTCCACCCTTACTTAGTACTGCACTGCTTTTTAAAATATAGGTGGATGGAGATATTTTTGTCACCAGTTCATGGACACATGGCCTCTCCCAAACAGGCCTGCCCTAAGACCTCCCAGATGTATCTATGCAGACATCTCTCTTTTTTTTTTTTTTTTTTTTAAAGATTTATTTATTTATTCATACAGAACTGGGGTACAGGCCAGAGATGTGGAGGGTGAGAGGATTCACCAGAGACAGAGTGGGGAGCAGAACAGGCTGACTGACGAAGAACACTGCTGAGGGGAGCAGCGGGCGGGTCAGGAGAGGTCTGCCACGCCATGTGGTCACCTCCGGGGCAGGCGGGGATCGAACTCATGCTTTAGCTTCTTAGTGTTGTGCTTTAACCCGCTGCGCCACCAGGGAGGGCCAACATCTCTCTTTTTTTTAATAAACAAAAAACTAACTAAATCCTTTTGCCCCAATTCTTGCCAGATTCATCTCTCAACACTTAATGCCTCTTTTAGGAGCTACACAAAGTCCTTCCATGTTCTCAGAACCTCTCTGTGAATTCTCCTTAGACTTCTAGTGTGGCCTATTCTGGAAAGATTTATTGTTTTCTCTCTCTTACTTACAAAAACTTACAAAATTCAGGGATTATAGTGAAAATAATCTACTTGATGGATAGTTTTTTAAAACGACTTGGTGTTATGTAAATTCTACTTGGTAGAATTTCAAGGAAAGTAGTAAAGAAAATATTCTGAGGAAAGAATATAAGATAGAGAAGACAGAGGGACAGCCAGTGGTCCCTAGGAAATGGGGAAGTTCAGGTTCCCTGCCCCACCCAGAAGGAGGGTGGAGCTGAGCAGAGAAAAAGGAGAGAAAGAGAAGAAAAAGAAGGAAGCAGGATGGAGAACAAGGAGACCTGAGGAAGCCACATAGAGCAGCAAGCATGTGATGAAGAAACCGTGCTTGTTTCTTGGCCCTGGACTGGCTAAGGCAGATGTGGGGGAGAGACCTGTAGGGAGGTGACTATGGCAGTGTTTATATTGATTTTGATTTTGCTCTTTTCCTCCCAGACCCATTTCTGACCCTTTTCCATGGGTCCCGGCCAGAAGGTGCTTTAGTCCTGTGGCAGGCTTTCAGGCCTTGCTTTGGGCTAACCCCTTTTGGGTTGACTTTTGCCCACAAGGGGATGGGTAACTTCAGATGTTTGATTTAGAAGTTATATTCTTTGTGTTCCGTATTGTATATTCACTGTATTAAAGTCCCTTTTCATTACAGTTTTATATGTTTTGTCTTGATGCGGCAGATGGTAGAATCCACTTAGAGCAGACAGGTTTGGGGGTTCAGTACTGCCCCTCTCTCCCTGTCCTGTAACAGGCCTACTGGCCTTGTCTGGGGTTCTCCTACTTCATCTACAATTCTCAGCTAGTCTCAATTTTCACAATTATTCTTTCTTCTACATACAAATTTACAGTTTACCTTTACTCCCTTAGTTTCAGTTTTAGCAGCTGAGGAAGCTACATCTGACTTTGAGAAACATTTGGATGGGGGCTCAGACAGTTAGAGGCATAACAGAATTTGAGGTGTCCTTCATTGTGGTATAGACTGCTTATGAATTGTGTTGGTAAATCAGGCCCTGTGCAGAATTTTATTTGAGTAGAAAAGTGAGAAATATCTCTTCAGCCTTAAAAGAAAGCCAAGTAGGAGTCTTATATGGATGAGGAAAAATAGACCAGGTTATAACATCTGGCAGTATGCCAAGAATATGATCCTATGTTATATCTGTACAATATGCTTATGAAAGCAGAGAGTTTTATTACATACAGAATTACTTATTTCACATTTTTTAAATGTTTTGATGTTCTCTCTAGGCTAATAACAGGACCCTGCAGGAGAAGATTTTACAAGTCAACAATTTGGTGGAAGCGTTTGGCAATGCCTGCACTATTATAAATGACAATTCCAGCCGATTTGGAAAATACTTAGAAATGAAATTTACCTCTTCTGGAGCTGTAGTGGGAGCACAGATTTCTGAATACCTTTTGGAGAAATCCAGAGTTATCCACCAAGCCATGTAAGTGTTTATATATATATGTATGTGTATACATATGCATGTAACCATAGAAAGAGTAATACAAAAGATATACATTTGTGTTACTCTTTCTGTGGTTACATACAAGAGAGCAAATAAAAGATCAAGGAATGGGTTTTGTTGGATTACCCTTTTTATTGCCTGATGACTTTAGCCATCAATGTAACATTTTTATATAAGTGTGAATGGGCTCCTTTGGCAATGTGTAGCTGAATGGTTTCTCCCGGGGCCAAATGATTCCAAAACAACTCGGTTATTCATTTGAGTATGTGATAATCTGACATGTTAAGTATGGTTTTGAACTGCAGCTCAGGTGACAAATCTGTTCATCATGGGTAAGATATTTAAAGCTTAAAGACTCTTGTGGGATCTCAGTTGTGCAACTTACTATGTGCATAACTTGAAATAACCCCTCAATGCCTGTTTTTGTTTTATGTTTAAAATAGAGATAGCAATAATTCCTACCTACTGCCTAAGGTAATGCCTGAATTACTTAGCACAATGAGAAGCACATAGTAAGAACCCCATAAATTTATTTTTAATTAATTACTTATGTTTTACATCGTTGTTCATTTTGTAGCATGTTTGATTTCTCCTCTTGGGTATAATCCCCATAAAGTTCCCACCACCAAGTCACCTGTGAACTATCACCACAGTCTCTTTGTGCTCCTCCCTCCCATTTTGATGCCTCTCTCTCCCTCCTCTGCTATATATATTGGATTTATAGTTTGCCTGCCACTTTTGTCTTTTTTTTTTCCTGACTTCTTGTTTGGTTGCCCTGTATTCCTCCTATACATGAAACTATCTGATATTTTTCTTTTTCCTTCATGACTTATTTCACTAAGGATAGTCCCTTGAATCCCATCCATGTTGCTATGAATGGCATGAGTTTATCTTTTTAATTGCTGAATAGTATTCCAGTGTGTGTGTGTGTGTGTGTGTGTGTGTGTGTGTGTGTGTAATGCCACAATGAACATAGGAGTGCTGGTTTCTTTTCAAGTTAATGTTTATGTGACCTTTGGGTAGATTCCTAGGAGTGGAATTGCTGAAGAACCCCATAAATTTAAATGGTTATTAGTTGTACTAATGTTGATAGTTACGGGAAGATTCAAAATAACATCCAGTACAGAACAAGGGATGTGGATGTTGTTCTGCAAACAGGAGTTACTAATACCAACATATGCTCAGTGGCCAGAACTTAGTCCACATGGTTTTGCCATCCACCCACCCATCCGTCCATCCACCTACCCACCCACCTACCTATTCATCCACCCATTTGGCAAATATTCATTGAATCCCTGCTTTGTGTGCCAGGAATAGTATTAGTTAAAGAAGCTATAAAGCTGAATAAGACAGGATTCTAGAGTTAAAGCAGCTTGGTCTCCTGGAGAGCCATAATGCTTGGATACAAAGCTTATTCAATTGCGGTTAAATCTAATCTCTTAGGAAGGTAGAATGAGATCATCTTCCATGAGTAACCAGAGAGGTGGCAGCAGAGAGGTATTAAGGAGTCCGGTTATTTGGTGAAGGGAACTGTAATAAAAAAATTAAAAGCAAAAGCACTCTTTTTTGAATGCCTTACAGGGTCTTGGGAATGCAAAGCGGTGTTGTTAGCTTTCTGTACTTTATTACTGGTCGCTTTGATAAAGATTCAAGCATTTCACTGGAAGGCGGGGAGGCTGGGTCAGCAAGCCAAACCTTTGTGAGGACTTTTACAAACACTTTTAAGGGTGTTTGAGTATTTGTCCCAGGGTCCAGGGAAGGTGAGCACACGAGACAGCCCTTAGAGTACTCCAGCAAAGGACTGAGTGGGACTTTGAAGTATCAGAGGGTCCACAATTAGGGGTGGAGCCAGAATCAGCAAAACACTAGTTGGTAACTTGCTGGACCCTCTATTTGTCCCCAGGCTGATCTGGGCCTCCCTGTTCACACGCATATGTACAGGATGCTGTAGCCTGTCTTAAGTACAACTTGGGTGTCATTAGGACAATCTTTCCACACCTGGAGAGGGGTACTGTTTAGAGGTATCTTTCCCTGTTTCTTTAATTCTCTGATTTTTTAATCCACTGAAGGTTAATGTATTTCCTATAGTATCTCCAGGTCTTGTCAAATCACATTCTTCAGTAAATATAAACTGATCGTTAAAGAGAAAACCACCAATTTTGTGTGTCTGCATTGATGAGTCACTAATTGCACACTTCGTCACTTAAGCTTTAAAAGTGTGTGACACATGGAGCCATCAACATGATTTCCTTAGAACAAAACAATTTAAATTACACATTGTGCTGGTCTTAGGGACATTTTATTATTTTGTGATGAGAAAAGCTAGAACTCAACTAAACATTTGGCTTGATTCTGACCTTGCTCATGCACTATGTGAGTGTTCATTGATGTGTGACTGCTACAAGTATGGGCAGAAACGCAGATGCGGTGAATCTCAGGGACGGGCCGGCCCTCCCTGCAGCACCTGAACCTGTGAAACACACACCTGTACTTGCCGTCACACCGGATTCTCCTGACTCCTCTCACATGTCTCTTGAAATTTTCTTCTCAGACTTAGATTCATCCACCCATTCCTAAAATTTTTGTTCACCAGAAATTTGTCCTTGAGTGAAGTGTTTCTCTTTCCTGTGCTCTTTCACTGAGCAGTTTCTTCTGATCTTGGCCTCAATAGGGAACTCGGTGTGATCCACGTGAACACCTGTGTTCTTGAGACCCAAAGATATACTTTTCTCTCTCTCCCTTTTTCATTCATTTCCGACTCCCTTGATATCCTGTATCATCTAGAATTCAACTCCACATGCATCTTCCCAAACATGATACTTTTCCTATCACCCCTTTTATTAAGGAAAGGAATGAGCCTCTGTTTACATAAAACCTCTGACCGCCCTTCCTCTCCATGTGTAAGTACTTTCGAGTTGATGTCTGTGGTAACTCTTACTCCTCTTCTCTGCATCCCCATCCTCTGCCACTGTTCTGTCCTATGGCTGTTCCCTGCAACCCAGTCATTTGAAAGACCCAGATTTCCTGGACACATAGAATTCCTTGCTCACTTCCTATGGTGACATGATGCCTTCTCAGACTCAAGGAAGCTGCCTTCCCAATCTCAAGCCGGAATGCAAACTAATCAATGACACTTTTGTCTTTCAAAATGTCTTTTTTTTTTTTAAATCTTAACAAGGAATCTGTCCCACAAATTTTGATAAGCCATGCTTTCATTTTCATCTTGTTCAAAATATTTTTCAGTTTCCCTTGAGATTTATTCTCTTACCATTTGTTGTTTAGAAGGACTATATTAACTTCAGAAAGAGCAGAATTCAAAGTAGGGAAGTTAGCAGGGATTTAAAAAAGAAAAGAGAAGAAAGGAGAGAAACCTTCATGCTCCAGTTTCTTTAACCTTAGTGATAAAGGGTTCAATCCTCCAAAAGACAATCCTTAATGTGGAATTCCACCTATCTTGGAAGTTTCCAGTTATCTTTTTGTTACTGGTTTCTAATTTAATTCCACAGTGGTCCAAAAGCAGAGACGACAGACATTCTATTACTTTAAGTTTGTCATGGGCCAGAATGTGGTCCAGCTTGGTAAATGTTCCAGGTGAGCTTGAGAGGAGTGTAAATTCTGCCGGTGTTGGTGAAGTAGTTTAACATGTCGGTTATATTCAGTTGATTGATGGTGCTGTTGCTTTCCCATGTGTCCTTACTGACTTTCTGCTGGCTGGATCTGTCCATTTCTGACAGAAGTGTGAAGTCTCAACTACACTCATGGACTCACCTGTTTATCCTGTTCTATCAGGTTTTGCCTCCCATAGTTTGATGCTCTGTTATTAGGCCCACACACATTAAGGATTGTCTTTTGGAGGATTGAACCCTTTATCACTAAGGTTAAAGAAACTTGAGCGTGAAGGTTTTTCTCCTTTCTTTTCTTTTCTTTTTTAAATCCCTGATAACTTTCCTCCTTTGAATTCTGCTCTTTCTGAAGTTAATATAGTTATTCCTCCTTTCCATTCACCAGTATAAAGTTCTCTTCCTCCACTTACTTTTAATCTATATGTGACATTATACATAAAGTACATTTTTTGTAGGCAACATATAATTGGATCTTGATTTTTGATCCCTCTAACAATGTTTTGATGTTTAAGGTAATTGTGTATATAGTTGGATCCGTATTTGTCGTATTCACTATTACCTTCTAATTGTGGCCTGTCTCAGGGAATCCCTGAGACTCAACGGTTGAGTTGTGGACATCAGATACTAGTTTCTTACATTATCATGACTCACATTTCCTTAACTGTATTATTCTGTAGACTGGAATATGCTGTTTTTACTTACGTTTGCAGAGTCCTCTATGCTGAGACTCACAAGAAGTAGATTTCTCATACAAATGAGAACACTGAACTCCAGAAGTGCAGTTACCAAGCTGCATAAAGACATGGATTTTGGAGTCAAACAGCCCTGGTTTGAATCTAGTTCAGCCTCAGTCCTGTGATCTGAGGGGAGATGAGTGACCTCTTTAAGCCTCAGTTTCCTTATATACCAAATAAGTAAACTGCATGGGTAAGCTGGGGGTTAAGGCAGGTAAATGACATAATATAGCATTTATCACCCTCTGACATACTACACAATTTTTTTATTTGCTTATTTTTCTGTATGCTCCCAAGGGCATGTAAGATCCAAGAAATTAGGGAGTTTTTGCTCCTCTTCATCCCCCAGTGCCTAGAGCAGTGCATGGTGCTCACTCATAATTAGGTGTTGAATGATTCACAGATAGTGCTGAACAGTATCCATAATTTAATGATAGTAGTTCTTGAAAATGACAGTACTGACAGCCACAGAAAGCCAGAATCTAGTATTTGGGCAAGCCCACATTGATACAGCTGCTGTTGCACTAATAATTATATTGCTGATAATGTTACCAATTAATAAGTAATCTTACTATCTTACTAAAAATGTCTTATATCTTTCAGTGGAGAAAAAAATTTCCATATTTTTTACTACATCTATGCTGGTTTAGCAGAAAAGAAGAAACTAGCCCATTATAAATTGCCTGAAAATAAGCCTCCCAGGTAACCCAACTGGTTGTACTTTTGTAAATAATGTTTATTTTTCACTTAACTTTAGATGTTTCCCTGTCCTTTCATATTTTTTTCAGATACTTGCAAAATGACCACCTCAGAACAGTACAGGACATGATGAATAATAGTTTCTATAAATCCCAGTATGAATTAATTGAGCAATGTTTCAAGGTCATAGGTTTTACAATGGAGGTAAGTATGAAAAACATTTAAATCTCTATATGAAGTCTCTTTTGTCATCATTAAAGGTAAGAGCATTTATTGAGTGATTAATATATGCCAGACATTTTGCTAAGTGTTTTATGTGACTTTTGCTTTTAATCAGTAAAATAAATGTATGAAATAACTATAATTCTTTGACTTATTGATGCTATATTATCGAATAGTTTTATTCTAATCTTTTATTTCTGTTGGAATCTCTCACATATATATAATTTTGCATAAATGCCGAAATGTCACCATCTTACTTATTTCTGTGCAGTTTTCTTTCATAACAACCTTTTAACTTGTAATTCACGTACCATGCATGTCAGTCATTAGTGTGTTCATTTCAGTGACTTCTTATATGTTCTCAGAGGTGTGTATCCATCACTTTAACCACCTTTTTTTTTTTTTTTTTGCATAGAAGAACTGGGGGATAGGACAGAGATGCTAGGAGGTGAGAGGACTCACCAGAGTGGGGAGCAGAACAGGCAGATTGACTGAAATACACTGCTGAGGGGAGCAACAGACCAGACAGGAGAGGTCTGCCACACTGGGGATTGAACTCAGGCTGTAGTGGTGACAGCCCTAAGACTTAACCCCTAGACTACCAGAGAGGCACCAGCAGACACTTTGAAATATTTCATGTCCAAAATGCTTCACCTCCAAAAGAAACATGCTAGTAATGAGCCTTTTTTTCCTTATCCCTATCTAACTCTTTCTGTCTATGGATTGTTTCTTGTAGGCATTTCACATAGAGTGATGTTATCCTTTGTGACGGACTTTTCTCACTTTGCATAATACTTTCAAGTTTTATACATGTTGTAGTATCAGTGCTTCGTTTCTTTTTATTGTTGAATAATAATTCATTTTATGAATATTCACTTTATCAGCTGATAATATATAGATTGTTTCCATTTTTTAGCCACTGTGAATAATGCTGCTATGAACATTCATGCACAAGGTTTTGTATGGATATATGTCTTTATTTCTCTGGTCTGTTCCCAGGAATAGATTACTGGGTAATAGGGTAACTCTGTTTAACATTGATGGAAAGTACCACATTGTTTTCCAGAGCAGTCACATCTTACATGCCAGACAATAGTTTATGGGGTGCTAATTTCTCCACATCCTCCCTAACACTTACTATCTGTCTTTTTTATTATAGCTATCTTAGTGGATGTAGTGTCTCTTTGTAGTTTTGATTTGCATTTCCCTCATGGCTTATGTTGCTAAACCTTTTAAGGTATTTGTTGTAATTTATACATCTTCTTTAAGGAAATAGCTATTCAGATCCTTTCTCTGGTTTTTAATTAGATTTTCCTTTTGTTACTGAGTTGTAAAATTCTTTATATTCTAGGTACCATTTCCTACCAGATACATCATTTGCAAATTTTTCTACATTTGTCTTTTTACTTTCTTGGGTTCTTTGAAGCAGAAAAGTTTTTGCTTTTTATTAAATTAATCCTAATGTAATATTTACAGATTCTTTTGTTGCTAGTTATTTTGATATGACATATAAAATATCATTATCTAATCCAAAGTCATCAAGGTTTTTTTAATTACTTTATAAGTGAGAGTATTTTTTGCATGAAAATCCTTATAATTTTCTCTTTTTTAACATATATTTTATTTAGCTAGTTAATATTGGCTTTTATCGGTTATTATGATTGGGCACTTAGGTTGTTTCCATAATAAAAGTGCAGGATCCCCTCCTCAGGCATGGTTGCCTCAGTGCACCCACCACCTAAGAACCCGTGGCCCACTCCCCTCCCCCACCCTGTACTCTCTCCTTTCTTTGTGCTCATCCCTCTCTCTGTCCCTGGCCCGCCCCTTCTGGTTGCCCCTATTACACAATCAATTCACTGAAATGTATGCCCAAGTCTTCTTCCAGGAGTTGTATGGCTTTAACACTTACATTAAGGTCTCGGTTCCACATTGAGTTAATTTTCTATCGAGTGTGAGACTGGGGTCTGTCACCTTTTGCCTCCGTTTCAGTTGTATATTAATTTGGACTGCACCATTTCATTTATATGTCTATTTACATTATTGTTCACTTTATAACAATGTTAACTTCCCCCCTTCCCCTCCCATCATCACCATAGCCCCCCATATTCCTCCCTCCTTCTGATCCCACTCGGTCCCCCTCCCCTGTTGGATCTCTCTGGTTTGTAACTGTCTGTTTTGTATTGTTCCATTGTGTGTTGTGCTATAATAACAGTATACTTTGATTCCCCTGTCTTATCTGATTCTCTTAAATTCCTCCTATAAGTGAAATCATTTGTTATTTTTCTTTTTCCCTCTGACTTATTTCACTGAGCATAATCCCTTCCAGCTCCATCTATGTTGTTGTGAGTGGCATGAGTTTATCTTTTTTGATTGCTGAACAGTATTCCGTTGTATATTGGAAACAACCCAAATGCCCAAAACGAGATGATTTGACCATTTTTTGAAAAGACTATTCTTTACCCATCGAATGGCATACTTCTTGAAAATCAATTGACCACAAATATATACAATTTTTTCTGATATCTAATTCTATTCTCTTTATCTATGCCTATCTTTATGTCAGTATCACACTAGCTTGATTACTGTCACTTTGTAAAATCTCTTTGAAATTAGGCAGTATGAGTTCTCCAACTTTGTTCTTTTTCAGGATTATTTTTGTCCCTTGAATTTCATGATCAGCTTGTCAATTTCTAGAGCAGTCTTTTAAAAGACTTCCTTGTTCATCTCTCCCTTCCCCATCTCATCTCATTCCGTCTTCATCTGCTCATTTTCCCTTTCACCGGCTCATGGGTGTTAACAGCCCAGAATCCACAGTCCAGTATTTCATACTACCCCCTGCTCATATAAAAATCTTCCTTGTAGACACAACACTACTAAACACACACACACACGCATGTGCATGCCTCGTAGTGTTTCAGTTCCATATTAATCCTAGGTTAGCTTTATCAGGAGTAAAAACAGAAAATTTCTGATCTCACGGATTAATATGACATTAACCCTAACTGCCTCCACCCTACTCCTTCCTGGGTGTAAATTATCCCCAGTGCCTCTTCCTCTTTTTCTTCTGCAGAAATTCAAATTCAAATGCAAGTGACTAAGGGCTCCTCCCTTTCCTCATTTCCCCTCCTTGGCCTCTCTCTAACCTTCCCTTCAGACCTCCCACAACTTGTTTCTATGGAGATGAGGTGATGTAAGTTTTGGAGTTAGCCTGCCTCTTGAAGCAGAAGTCAGTTTATTTGGAGTACAATAAATGATAGAAAGGTAGCAGTGACCCTTTTCTTCAATCCTTGGTCATTAGATGAGTATTTCTAAGGGTGACACTGCCCCTTTGGACTGCAGTCTGGCTCTGTTGTTACCTGGATAGGGGAAATCAGGAGAGACTGACTGGATTTCAGCGCATCTCCAAGCTGGAAGGATAGATGGACACAGGCAAGTAGCTCCTGCATCAGCCAGGGGCTGAGCCTCCGTAGTTCTTTTCCCTGTTTTTTTTGTCTTTGAAAAAGCCTATCTTACTAATTCCCTCCCCCAGAAGCTGCTATCTTAGAAACAGGGAATCATTTTTAATTGGTTTGTTTACCTCTAAGTCCCACTCATTACAGGCAGTGTTTCACTTCTGTTTTCTAGATGACTCTCTCTTGCATGGTAGAGCAATGGTTAGTAACATTAAAATGAAGCCAGTCCTGCTATTACCATCAACTGGCAAGTAGAATTCATTTATTTAAAGTGCTCTATTCCAAACGTAAACATACTCCATGTTTACCAGGCATGCAAACATACAGCTTAGGGTAAAGGAAAGTAACATCCATTTCTGAAAGCACCGCTACTGCTGGATATGGTGTGAAGACTTCACAGGTTCAAGGTGACTCTCACAGGTTGTAGCTAATTCCCGTCTAAAGCACTCAGAGAGTGCTCAAACTGTCCCAGTCTGGAAACAACAGAATTCAACCAACTGGGCAATTTAGTTCTTTTCTAGCCCAGTCCTGATTTTTTTTTTTTTTTACATGATTTCATGGACTTAGTTGACTATGTCCTTTGTCAGTAGCTGTTTCAGCTCCATTTTGGAAAGAAGCAACTTGGGCCAAGCCAGATTAAGTAGCTTGGTTGTCACAGCCTCTCAGCACTGCAGGCACCTTCCCAGTCTGCTTCGGCACAGTCTCGAGAGCTGTCCAGCAAAGACTCTCCCTGTCTCTCCTCGTCTGTCACTGCTGGACCTTGACAGCACCCATGGTGTGTGTGTCACTTTAAATATGCCCGAGGGCTTACGGTTGGTTCACTTGTACATTTGTGATTCAGCACAAGCCAAAGGAATGACAGGCAAATCAAAGTCAGATATCCTCTAAAAATAATATAAATTAGAAAACTCTAAAACTTTAAAAATCATATGACTTCTTAAGACATTTTCTTGCCACAGTTTTATAATAAATGATTAATAGTTTTATGTTTCAACTCATTCAGAAGCAATTTTTACCATGTCATGATAGGAATTTTATGTATTTTTCTTTGCAAAAAAGTCATATGTCATGTCTCAGGTGTGCTCAGTTTCAGCTTCAGCTTTGCTCCCCCTTTTTGCTGATCTACAGTCATTTTATTTGCATTTTCAGTTGTGACTTCTGTTATGATCAACTACTATTTTTGGAAGAAATTTTTACATACTTTGAAACACCACACAAATTGTTGAATTTCTGCAAAATAGTTCATGTTTTAGAATTGTTTTTGGTCAAGATGGACGACTATTGAAGTTCCATGTAGTCATTTGATGATAATAATTTTAGATAAAATAATAATTTTAGAACTCACTGTTTTCATTCAAAAAAGCATAAAATAAATTAGAGTTCTATACCTTTGGTTCGTATGTTGTGTTGTAAACCAGTCTCACTCTATCACTAATTAATTAATTACTAAAACAGGAGTACTGCCCCTCCCAGAAGAGATGGTCCCATCCTGGATCAAGGGTACAGTGGCTGTGTGACCCTGCTGTCCCCTCTAAGCAGCTCTGCCAAGAGTGAGCCCTGATGTAACTATGATAATGTCTGGGTGATGCTGTTTCCAGGCAGGCGCTTCACTCACTGTTTGCAGAGGCTCTGTGTATGCAGGCTAGGGTTATATGGGAACTCAGCACTCGCCACTAAATTTTGCTGTGAACCTGAAGCTCCTTAAAAATGAAGTTTATTAATTTAAAAACCTATAAAATGTTTTATATATATAGGAATGGCCCATCTGCAAATCCAGAAAACAATCCTCACCTCCCAAGCTAAGCTTTCTTGGTCATTCTCCACTGTACCTCTTCATTTTAGTTTTTACATTGGTCCTTTTCTTCCCTGAAAGTGTCATGCTTATGTATTTGTTTATTTACTCAATGTCTGCCTTTCCACTGCCTAAACAAACATCCATGGGAACAAGGATCTCTCATCTTGCCTGCTGTAGAATCCCCTCTGACAAGATCAGTACCTGTCATAACATGTATTGATAAGTGACTATGCAAACACACACACACACACACATTCAGTCAACCAATATATTCATTTTAATGTGTATACATTCATTTCATATGCATTTATATATGTCATGCTACATGTGAATGAATAAATATTCCTGGAGATTTTTCCTTCATATCTGACTTTTATCCTGATCCTCTGAGAAGATAGTATTAATTCTATTTTTTAAATTTGTATTTGTATCAGCAAAATATCTTTAAGCACTTGCTGGGTAACAGACACCATGCTTACCTCTAAAATTAAAATAGTTAACTAATGAGGCCAAGTCTACTTGGCACCTTGCCTACTTATATCTCTTTGTCTGGCACCATAATCTGTGACATGACCTTGGTGTGCAAGAGGTGAGAGATTCTGACCCAGTCTGCACCCAACCAGAGTCATTGCCTTGCTGCATACTCCAGGGGGAGAGTGATGCTAACATTCCTGCGGTGTGTTTCAGCAACTTGGGAGTATATACAGTATCCTGGCTGCAATCTTGAATGTGGGAAACATTGAGTTTTCTTCTGTGGCAACTGAATATCAGATTGACAAGAGTCACATTTCTAATCACACAGCTCTGGAGAACTGTGAGTGTTACTGTCTTTTCAAAGCTGAACTCTTAAAGTTGAATGTTAAAAAGAACTTCATGCTTACAAATTAACTAATTACTGTAGAAAACATTTCTAAAGAATAGGCTTTCATGATTACTTTAGGAACTATTTACATTTCAGTAGAAAAACACAGAAAATATAATTAAAGTTTAGTGACGTGACCTGAAAAAGTTCAAGTTGTTATCTTGTAGATTTAGCATATTTATCACTTAGTAAGTAATGAAGAGCTATGTGTTTATTCTCATTGTGGGTGAATTTTCTTATACATGTTCATCCTGGGTTAATTAATTTTGTGATCATTTTCTATATGACACAATGTATATCATGGTATTTGCTTCAAATAAACTTTTCTCTTATAGCCAAGTTTGATGAATATTCCAATAATTTAAGGTTTCCCATTGATATAATCCAGTGACATAGCTGTTTTTAGAATATACTTTTTACTTTTAAAATCAGCATGTGCTTCTATGCATAATTCCATATATGTCATATGGAATCACCTGTCTTATTGGTTCTTTCATAACCAAGGATACCACTGCAAGCCCACCACCAAAGCACCATAATTCCTTTTACCACAGTCCAGTGTTTGCTACCCCCCCCCTCTGCTCCCCACTCCTATTCTACCCATCTGGTAGTATCAGTTCTGCAGTCAGACTTAAAGGCTTTGTTTGGATTTAGTTTTATCTGTTCCTTTGTTTTCTTTACATTCCACACATGATTGAAGTGATATAGTATTTGTCTTTCTTCTTCTGATTTAACTCAATAAGCACAACCCTACCCAGTTCCATGCATATCACAAATGGAAAAATTTCATCTTTTTTTTTAATAGTTGATGACTATTCAATTGTGTATATATTATATCTTCTTGATCCACACCTCTGCCCTTGAGCACGTATGTTGTTTCCATGACATGGCTATTGTAAATAGTGTTGCAGTGAACATAGGAGTGCTTCTATTAGTGTTTTTCATTATTTAGATAGTTACCTAAGAGTAGAATTGCTAGATCATATGGACTGGCTAGTAGAATTGCTAGATCACAGGTTAATATTTTGAGAAACCTCTGTACAGTTTTCCAGAGGGGCTGGACCAATCTATATTCCCACCAGTAATACTCAAGTCTTCTTTTTACTCCACACATTCAACAGTACTTTTCTTTCTAGTCTTTTGGATATGGATCATTCTCACAGATGTGAGAGGGTATCCCATTGTGGTTTTGATTTGCATTTCCCTGAAGACTGGTGTTGGCAAACACTTTTTCATGTGCCTGTTGGCCTTCTCTACATAGTCTTTGGATAAGTGTCTATTTAACTCTTCCACCCAATTTTTTATTAAGTTTCCATCTTCCTTTTTTGTTGAGTTGTATGAATTCTTTGTAGATCTTGGATATTAGCCCCTGGTCAGAAGTATGATGTGCAAATATTTACTCCCATTTATCATAGTGTCTTTTTGTTTTAGTGACAGTTACTGTGCAGAGCAGAATTTTAGCTTATGTACTTCCTTTGTTTCTCTTGTCATTCGAGATGAATTCACAAAGGCATCACTGAAGCCAATGTCATATCTAGTCTGTTTTCTTTTATGAGTTTTATAACTTTAAGTTGTATATACAAATATTGAATCTTTTTTGTGTATGGATACTATGCTTGTTTAGTTTCAGTATTTTGCAGGAGCTTGTCCAGTTTTCTCAACAGCATTTGTTGGAGAGAATTTCCCTCCTCCAGTGTGTACTCTTGACTCTTTTGTCATAGATTAACTGTCCATATAAGTGAAGTTTTATTTCTGGGCCCTCAGTTCCATTCTAGTGATCTGTGTATCTGGTTTACTTCCAAATCCATGCTGTTTTTATTATTGTTTTGATTAGCTTCTCAGTGTGACTTCAAGTTTATGTGGGGGTAATACCACCATTCTTCCTTTTTGTCAAGATAGTTTTGACTATTGGGGTCTTTTATGGTTCCATATCAATTTCAATAATGTTTGTTCTATTTCTTTGAAGTATGCCATTGAAATTTTGATAGGGATTGCATCGAATCATTATTTTGCCTTGGATAAGATGGACATTTTAGCAATGTTAATTTTTTTAATCCATGAACAGGGATATATATGTCCACTTCTTTTTGTCTTTTATTTTTCAGTTTACAGGTCCTCATATCGCTTGTTAATTTTACTTCTACATTTAGTTCTTTTTGATGTGATTTTAAATGGGACAGTTTCTTGATTTCTTTTTCTATCTCATTTACAAAAGGAACACAACTAATTTTTGTGGATTGATTTTGTAACCTTCTACTTTACTGTAAGATTTACTGTTTCAATTAGTTTTTTAGTGGAGTTTTTAGGGTTTTTTATGTGTATTATTATATCAAATTGCAGATGGCTCTTAAAATACATCTGTTTGGCTATATATCCCTACAGTCTCAATTAATTTCTGCATATTGTGTATATGACAAGGGTATACAAATTATATCAAATTAATTAATTACCTCTTAAAATTATTTAACATAAATTCAATAAATGTGTGCTTGGCATTACATAGCCATTCACCTGTTCAGATGTTTCATTAGGTCAGTCATTTTGATTTGGGAATTGCTGCATTACACAGTAACTTATATTTCACCAGTCAAGATAAGTAGACTGTTATAAAGAAGGTAGCATGGGATTCCCATTCAATAAAAATTTATTTTCACATTATAAACATTTCACATAATTATTTCATGTTATGTGATGAAGTTTAATTAAGACGTTTTTGGTCTAGGTAAGTTACTCTTTGCCATAACTTCTTCTAACACTGTCTCTGTTTCTGTCTATTTTTTAGCTGCCTCTTTGCTTTATATTCAGGCAGATGAGCTACAGGAAGCTCTCACTTCCCACTGTGTGGTCACTAGAGGAGAAACAATTATACGACCCAACACTGTAGAAAAAGCTGCTGATGTCAGAGATGCTATGGCTAAGACATTATATGGGCGTCTCTTTAGTTGGATAGTCAATCGTATTAACAGCTTATTGAAGTATGACACGTCACCAAGGTAAAAGATTTATAGCAACCTTTTCTCCCAGACGTCCATTAATATAAATATATTTTCTAATTTATTGATTTGTAGATCAATAAATGCTTTGATGATGCTTCTGATTGGTATCATTTAGCTATCAGCTATATTTTGAAGGACTGCTTTACTGCCTACTAGTACCACTTCATTGTGCCAGATAACTTAAAAAGTTTTAAACTATAGCAACATGAGTAAACAAAATTTTAATGTGACCTCCTTTAGGTATAATTGACATATCAGGTTTAGGTAGGCACCATAATGATTCAACGTTTGTATATAATGCAAAATGAGCAGCATGGAAAATCTAGTTAACATCTATCACCAAACATAGTTATAAAAATGTTTCTTTTGATGAGAATTTTTAAGATCTACACCCTCAGCAACTTTCAAATATGCGGTACACATCAGTAGTAGCGATGCTATACATTACATCCCAGGACTTGTTTTCTAATTTTTGAGTGGAAGTTGATTTTAGGTGTATGTTTTGACCTTCTTAACACATTTCACCCATTCCCCACCCCAACTATGACAACCACAAATCAGTACTTTGTATCTATGAACTTAGTCTTTTAATTGTTTTTTTGATTCCTCATAAATGAATTATGTGGTAGCTATCAATGTTTTTGATGTGACCTCTTAACTATTACTTATGTATTTTAATATAAAGTAAACTATGAAATATTTTGCATAAGGTAACAATTCAACAGTTCTATTTTTGTTTTTAGAATTAGAATTAAATCTTGAAAGCAAGAAAAAAAAACTTTTTTTTTTTTCATATTTTAACTTTCATTATAACCCCATGAGGGAAGGTATTATGACCTCCAATGAAATTTGATCCAAAAATACTTAAAAAAAAATAGAAATTGGTAGAGCCAATATATGAGTGATAATACCGTTGGGCTATCTCCATCTTAGAAATAAAAATAATTGCAACTTTCACTGACTGAGTGTTCTCTGTATGCCAAGTTTATTCACAGATGTAAGTCCTTAATTTGCATCAAAAGATTTGCTCTATCTTGTTACACAGTCTCTAGAAATTGTATGTGAACAAATAAAGTGGATACCTATTTTAAGATCTCTTCATTCAGACTTGCTTACTAAACAAGAGACCATTTTTATATATATTTCAGGCATTCAATTTATTATAATTTTTCCACTAAAATACACATTATGCCATATTACCCACTCAAAATTATCCTGAAGTATGTGTCTTTACCTCCCTATTAATTTTGCCTTATTTGATTGAATCTGCAACTCATGATCCAGGTGGCCCTTTATTATTTCACAACTGTCATAGTTCATATGTTCACTTGTGTTGATCTATATAATGCCATGCTTTCAGGTGGTAGTGGAAATATTCAAGAATTTTTCAATTTATGGATATTCCATAGAATGTAAGCAAGATATTCAAGACCTGATTTCATTTTGTTGTCATCTGTGTGTTTGACACTAATGGTAATCATAGGGTTTGACTTCCAAATAAATAGGTGATCTGTTCAAGTCCCACTATAACCCAATCCATACGCTAATGAAAAATAAATTTTAGAATTTTATTTTTTATGGAATGTTTAAAAGAAAGATGTCTATTTTAGTTGATTTTCAGAAAAAATATAAACAAGTATGTTTAAAAATGAAAGAAAAGATGTAGCTCAGCAATTCTCTTTATAAATGACTTGTATCAACTCATTACTAGTAAATGTTTAAAAAATAAGAAAAATTTTAATGATTAAAAATTTAAAAGAGATCATTCTAGTATTTCTGTTTAATCAATCTAGATTTACAATAAAATTTCAAAAGGCCTGTCTTCAGTGCCTGGCTTTTCTACCAGCTTGATATGTGATTCTGGGAAAGGTTTTGCATTTCTATGTGTCTCTTCAACTTCATACAAATATAAATAAAGGCCTCATATAAATAAAGGCATCAAATGAAAAGTCAGTGGGCTTAGTTATTGGTAGGTAACTCAGAACCTTTTGACACCTCTGTCCTTTACTCCACAATTTAAAATGAATATATTAATTAGTATATACCCACCCAAATATTGCACATAGCTGTGATTACAGATTCCTTGAATGCCACTGACTGATCCCTGTTTAAGAATCCCTGAATTAGATCATCTAGAAGGTCCTCCTGGCCTACCACATCACTATACCAGTTAAATATTCATCTCAGTGGGATTCTATGTGATGAGATAGTAAAGGAATAATCTTTTTCACTAAACCTGTACATATTTTAAGTTGACAATTGCCTGATATAACTAGTTATACTTATTGTTAAAAAAAAAAACAGAACTTTTCAGACATACTCAGGTAGCCTTCTTTTTTGTCAATTCTATCACATACTCAGTGTCTATAAATCTGCAGCCTGAATTCAATTCCCCCAAATATAGACAGTATCCTTTAGCTCACAGCATGCAGTAGCTAGCTGTCATTTCCAAATCACTTCCTCACACAACCCTAAGAGTAACCTAGATTACATAATTAGTGAGCAGAAAGGGAAATGTTTGTACTTTCCTTTTTAAACTCACATGAAAATAACCTTGCAGTATATATATTCTTTGGGGGAGAGGCAAACTTTTTTTCTTTTTCGTTACAGCTTTATTTATTTTATTTTTTTATATTATAATAGTTTATTTTTACATCATTTTGTACATTTTTTTTCATCCCCGAGGGTTTCCCATCACCAAGTCACCCATGTGCCATCACCATAGTCCCGTGCACTTCCCTCCCCCCCACCCCCACCTCTGTTTTTGATCCCATTCCCCACTCCACCCCCACAAAATGTCGGAAGAGGCAAACTTTTAAACTGAGTATCAAACCTCCAGTGTTGTAGAAAAACAGGAACAAAATTTATATTTATATTTTACCATTTATAAAATGGTAGTAATTGTGTTTTTAAATATTTATTTCATAAATGAATATACCTATCTCCAGTTACCATTGGTTCTATGTTTAAAATTCTGATTGAATCATCCAAAAATAAATAGTTCTTTAAAATATTTTAGCAAGATCTTTTTAAATTGTTGTTTGTTCTGAAATAAAAGACTAAATATATGCTCTCCAAGAATTTTTCTCATGTGATTTTTATTGAACATATTTTTGCTGCGTTCTCAATGCTAGCTGGGTTTTTTTTTAATGATTCAAGACTCAATCAAGTTGCTGCTCACAAACGCATAGGGGAAAAAAGTTTCTTTTAAGTACATAAGATACTATAAGGATCATTTCTATAGGGAAATGTTTATATAAGACAATGTTGTGTCATTTACATATTGAAATCAATGCTACCTACTTTTCTTTTATGTCCTATGTAGGGAAACTTCGTCAGTTAAGAAAATTTCCCTCTAAGTGTCTATCCTGGTAGTAGTTTCTTAATTAAGTCACAAAACTGTACTCCCTTCCTTCAGAACTGAAAATAATAACTCTTTAATTTTCCAGTGGAAATGGTGATGAACTGAGCATTGGCATTCTGGACATATTTGGATTTGAAAATTTCAAAAAAAATTCCTTTGAACAGCTGTGCATTAACATCGCAAATGAACAAATTCAATATTATTTCAATCAGCATGTATTTGCTTGGGAACAGGTATGTGAAGATATTATAAAGATTCCTGCATGTGTATGTTATGTACCAAATTGTACTAATAAAGTAGCACATAAATCATAAAATTAAAGCTTTAAGCTGTTAATAAAGATAAGAAAAGATTTTCTTGCCCATAGTAAGCAAACCAGATGCAAACATCTCACATGAACTTATTGTCTTGATATGTGCTGTTGAATGTCCTCCAATGAAAATCAGTGTGTCCTACTCCAAAATCTAGCAATTCTGAGCCTTTGCAAACAAAGGAGTTTCCTTTGGAAATCTAAATAAGCAGATGTGTTCAACTGTAGTCTGCATAGCTGAAATTCTGTTTGAAATTTAAATATCCATCTAAAATGCATTAAACTTCAGAATTCCAGTAGCTAGGCAACAGAACACAAGGATAATAGGTTTGATGCAAATGCCATGAGATGGTAATTTTGCAAGGGTACAATGTGTGATTTATGATTCAGCTTCAAAAATACTCTTCCTTCGAGAAAAATCAGGGACTTTTCTTGAATTACATTTAAAAAAACTGTAGTATTAAAATTATTAAATTATTTTATCAAATCTGAAAGAAATAATCACTTTACATTATTTGATGCATTATCACCTTTAAATAGTTTTTCAGTTACTTTGTGTTTAATGATTAGAACTGAAGTTTTTATTTAAATTTAAGACATTAGAGATGCTGCATTTTACTTTAAATATTTAGGCTTACTGATAATTTACTTTGAAATTACATTTTGAAAACATGATCACAAAAGAAAATGTTTATTTATTTATTTACACATACAAGAGCTGGGGTGTAGACCAGGGGTTCATGGTGGGAGGGAACGGGGGGGGGGTGGTCTAGAGGATTCACCAGAGACAGAGTGGGGAGCAGAACAGAAGAAGCTACTGAAACACACTGCTAAGGGGAGTGGCTGGTGCGACAAGAGAGGTCTGTGCCACGTGGGTCACCTCCCAGACTGGAATTGAACTCATGCCGCAGTGGCTGGTGATAGCTTGATAGCAGGGAGACTTTAATCCTTGTGCCACCAGGGAAGCCTGAAATGTTTAGATCTTAACATTTCTTAGGACAAAAAAGGCCTTCGATTGAAGATTTTATCTGTTTGCCCAACTCTCATCTATCCAGGACCTTATCCAGCAAATCCTCAGTCTTTCTCTGTCAACTTCTGTCTTCTTCTCCACTCCTCTGCACTAATCTCACCCTCTGTCTACATATATGTTGAAGTGTTTTAAACATCTTTAAAAACGAACACCCTTCTGTACCCTACTTAGCTCTGTAGTCATGGACCCCTCTCCCCTCCCGAGCCAACTCCTTGCAGGCATATTCAGTATGTACAGTGTGGTGTTGGTTTCTTCCCCCCAAGGTACACTGAATCCGTCACCTCGGGCTGTGACAGTCCCCTCTCAGCTCATCAGTCACTATTGTCAGAAGCATTTTAGTCTCAACATTACTAACTTTCTGTAATTGTTAACCCCGTTGAAGATTGCTATTTCTAGAAAAACTCTCCTGTCTATGTGGTGTCTGTAACACCATCTTCATGTTTCTTTCTCTTTCACAGGTTCCTCCTTTACTTTTCTTGCACCATCCCCTAAATCAGTATGGAATGTATGGAATGTATGGAATCACCAGGGTATCTTTGTAAAATCCTAGTGCCTGTACCCGGCCTCAGACCACTTAAATCAGATCTTGAAATGAAATCCAGATGTCAATATTTTTAAAAGACTCTCAGTTAGTTCCAGTGTGCAGCCAAGGAGGATTATTGTCCAAAATGCTGGCTTCCTGGGTTTTATACTTTAGAACCTTCTCATACTGACTAAGAAGGATCATCTGTTTCCACTGTCTTCCAGCCTCTACATGCTAGTGGCACTGGGCTCCTCATTTCCAATCCACACCGCTCTCTGATTTCTTGGCCTCTGTTTAATTCACTTTCCAGAACTTTATCTAAAATTGAGTTAATCATCTTTCCTTCTCACTTGTAGTCTTTCTAGTAAATGACATTTTTACCAACATATTCAAATCAAAAGTGTTATATTTCATTTCTTAATATGGAAATTAAGAGAAAAATTCAGTGATACTTATTCATATTCCTCCCTCATCTGTGCGATAGTAAAAATATTTGAAAATACCATACCTTTTCAGAGTCGGACATACAGCAAATGCTTAATAAGTATTTATTGAATTAGTGCCATTTTGCTCTAATACCCTACAATGTTTATAGAATCCAGCCCAACACGATGCTGGAGTAATTTTCTTTTTTTAGTTTGGACTTTTGGGTAGGCAACTGTTAGGATTACCAGGTGCATCTCCATGTATTTTTCATCTGATTAATTCACAACTTGTGCTAACGACAACAAAAATCTTGTTGTTCTCTTTATGGGGTCAAGATTAGAATCTGATTTTGTTGAAACTGACCTTTATAATTCACTCTGAATGATAACCTTGAATTTATCCATAATCCTAATGTTCTTAATTCTTTGGTCTTTGGACTTCCTACAAATCAAGCTGTTCTACAAGACCCTTTTCAAAATATCCTTGAGAGGCTGTCATGACAAAAATTGTCAATTAAGTCCCTCCCTGGTGGCTCAGCACAAAGAAGCTTAGCACAGCACAAAGAAGCTTAAGCCACTTCCTCAAGAGTTCAATCCCCGCCTGCTCCGGAGGTGACCACATGGAGTGGCAGACCTCTCCTGACCGCCCGCTGCTCCCCTCAGCAGTGTACTTTGTCGATCTGCCTGTTCTGTTCCCACTCTGTCTCTGGTGAATCCTCTCACCCTCCACATCTCTGGTCTGTACCCCAGTTCTGTACAAATATATAAATAAGTCTTTTTAAAAAATTGTCAATTAAATGTAGTTGGCAATTAAAAGTTGTCCCCAATAAATTAAAATTTTAGCTAAGATACAGGATTATTCAAAGTACTTTGAAGATTTAAGTCCATTCTCAGTCCTTCCAAGTACTTTCCTTGAGTAACTACCCTAAGAGCAACTTCATTACTTTATATAAATGAAAAACCAGTATTAAACCAAATCATTAATGAAAGCAAAGGTCACATTTCAGGGATTCTGAATTTAAGCATAGGTTTCCGCTCACTTTCCTTTAGTAAAGCCATTATTGCTTATCAGTAACACAAAATGTCTCAATATCATGGCATACAAATGATCTGGTCAACTGAGCAAGACACCAATCCTGGGCAGCAACTTTACAAGTGAAACAACCTTTGATTCCCTTTAAGTCAACAAACATTTTCTTTATTGTCAGTTATGCAATGTTGAAACATAAGTTAAACTTTTCTGAAAGCATTTCTTATTTCACCCAAGTGTAACTTACAGTAGTATTTCCTTAGCCATGAGAATATTCCAAGCTCCCAGTGGTTGCCTGAAACCACAGATAGCACCCAACCCTATCTATACTATATTACTCTACACAGAGATACCTATCACCTATGATAAAATTTAATTACCAAATTAGCTCAGAAAGAGATTGACATTAGTAACTAACAATAAAAGGGACAATTGTAACAGTATGCTATAGTAAAAGTTCTATGGATGTGCTTTCTCTCCCACTTGGAATATCTGACTGTGTGGAATATTTTCATACCTCAGTTGATAGGGGGTATCCGAAACCATAGAGAGCCAAGCCACAAATAAGGGAGGGCTTCCATGCATACAACATCTATGGTATACTCCAGCAAAGCTGGTGATAAAAATCATTTGAAATACCATTTTCCCTTTACTTACCATTAAAACAATCATCAGTAGACTATATAACATTTTTAGTGACACAGTTTGACCTAGTTCACAGCTTTCTGGATAGATAGTTTTGTGTCTCTTGGAATGATTGACTCCGACTAGCCATTTGTATTAACTTGGAAATGTGTTCTTAAAACTAGGAACCCATTTACCACTTGCTGGCAGTTACACACTCTTCTCCTCATAACCTACCTTTCATGGATATAAGTTATATGCCTCAGAATCCCAACACTCAACCAAGAGCATCTAGAGCTTGTCTCTCTTTTGACCTTTGTAATACAAATGTTTGAAATATTTAAGTATCTGATCATATTAGCATTATTTCCTGTGTGTATATGTAATTCCTAAAAATTTTCTAGAGTTTGATATTTCATAATACTTAAAACTTCTATACTTTTCCAACATTAGAACTATGACTATATAATGACTTTACTAAAATTCAAAGTAATTATTTGAAAATTAGATAATAATACAGGGCGCTGCCCTGACAAATGGAATGTGAGGATAGTTGCAACCATTTAAAATTTGAGACGCAGCCAACCTCTTCTAAATGTATTGCAACTGAAAAGTGTATAATTTTTTAAATTTTATTAATTTTACAAATAAATTATTCATAGCTCAGCCTTCTCTGTTACAGTGGTCTATCAGGATTTTGACACATGCTATTTAATATTTTCCAAAAATTATTTTAGTTAGTGCAAAGGGCAGTGGACAAATTACCATTTTCAACAGAGGCATCTTTCTGCAGTATCCCTCACCCTGAATCTCCCTGGTAATTTTGTAGCTGAGACTTGGGGTATTTTTGGGGGGAGGGGGAGCAGGGGGTGGTGGCTTCTGGTTTTCTGTCCATGTAAAAGAGAACTCAGCAAAATCTAAGCATGTCGGAAAGTTTGATGTTCAAGTTCGAGTCAGGCTATTTCTAGTGCTTTTGTCCTATTTTGATTTTGTGTGTTGGTACAATCGTTGTGATATAGAAAAGAAATACAAAAGAAATGAACCCTATTCTCTAGAAGTTTGCATTACAAATCAAGGGAAATACACACCAACCATTCAACCCAAGGACATGAGCTTGAATTGGAACAGTTGCCAATTTGATTTAGAACCATTGGATACCCATAACACCTGTATGAGATTTTAAGATTTTGGTTTTTGCCCTTTTGCCTATTACACTTAGGATAAGCTTTCTCACCCATAATGCAGCACATGTATCAGTTATTAATGAAACTAAAGCTCATTTTCAAAGTGA